AATCTTTGCTGCAATTTCTCCCAAACAGACTTGTTGTTCTTTTGCTTTTCCCTGGAATATTTAGTACTCTTCTCCAACACCACAATTCAAAGGTATGGAATCATGCTGCAATGAATATGGGTGTGAATGTACCAGTTTGTGCCACAGTTCTTATTTCTTCACGATGTCTGCCTAGTAGGGAGCTCTAGTAGCCTAGTGGTAACAAGCTGTGCTGCAATCCCAGGGGCATGTAGTTTTAATATACCAACTACTTCCTGAGAAAAGGCTGAAAATACTTTCCTATGTGATTCACTGCCTCTGAAAACCCACTGAAAGCTTAGCTATGGGTCTCAACCACCACCTCGTAGTGAGATTAACTTCATAATCCTATAATTTTTATAATATCAGTCTGATGTATATTGTAAAATGATTTCTCCACGGCCATGCAGATGTATTCCAACCTCTGGAGGTTTGATGCCAGGAAAAAGAGACAGTAGAATTTCAGTCAATATTTTATCTTCCTTGATAATATCCCTTTGTGATGGAGACATATTTATCCATATTTTCACAAGTAGGTGAAGCAAAAGAATTTAGTTGATTAGCACATGAGTTGGTACAAAAATGTAATTTTTCTATCTCCAGGTGGACCATTTAATATACAATAATTCTTTGGCTGGCTCAGAATACGCAAGAATGGTTACACATGGTGTATAGTGTTTGGTAGAGTTTCCTGATTAAAACAAGCTTGGAAGTAGGAGTGGCATCCACTTCCGAAATAGCTTGCCTCTGGAAAATCTATGAACTTGAAGAAATTATGAAAGTTTTACAAGTTTTCAGGTCTTTCATTCATAGAGTCACTATGAGTCGTCTACGACTCGATGACACTTAACAACAACAAGTTCAGCATATAACAGTTTAGATGGACATACTGATGACGCCAACAGTGAGGTCAAACCTCAACTTCACAATCAAATTCTGTATGACTAGTTGCTTTTTACTAATTATTTATGGTGACAAAAATCCACATAATTTTTCAGAAGTAAAGATATGTATGAGACCCACTGAAAATGAAATAAGTTAATACGTAAATCCAATTTCTTTGAATTTCATCTCTGATTAATTGTCCAAATAAATGACCCTGTATTGAGAATACGTTCCTTAACAAATGAGACTTGTGAATGGATAGTGAAAAGTAGGTCCCTTGATACTCCTTCACTGTTCTTCTGATCACATCTTATGTGGAGAAGCTGTTTCTATCTGGTGTATAAAAACCACAAACTGATTGCACATCTCTCAGTTGTGGTTTGAAGAGGATTCTATGTACCGCATGTCCACCTGCTGACAATGAGGTGACTGATTCCTACCTCTGTAAGTAGTTTAGAAAAGCTGATTGCTACTGGTTAGTTGAAAACTTCACAGACTGGGGTTAAGATACATAAAATGCTGTTTGTTATCTGATGTGTTCTTCCAAAATGCATAAATACTGTACACCATCTCTAGACAATGTGCAGCAATAATAACACATGGACTAATTCTCTATTCTTTTTCTCTCAGGAAGAATTGCTGTATAATTTAAATACTTTCAACTGCTGATTTTATTTTTGGTTTGCTTGATTACTTAAGGAAGTAGATATTACTTCTACAAGGGATTGTTTGCCCATTTCAGAATCATAACTTTGAATCTCACTTTACATTAGACAACAGGTACCTTACAGAAATGGAGTAGATGCCATGTCCTTATTTTGACTGTCTTTTAGGCCTTAATCAGATCTCTCCCTTATTAAACTATTTAACTTCTGTCTTTCTTCTCTTTTCTAAGTTCCAGATGAATTTCAGAAATAATTAGATAGACCACAGCCAGCAGATATTACTCCTGTGAAACCTTGAATTTCATACTGCATTTAAATTTCAGGAAACATTTTAAGCAGCACCAGCAAAATTTTTTATTCTTTTTAAAGAATAATTCATATGCATTGATATATATATACTGTTAGGTGCCATCAAGTTGCCTGTGACTCATAGTGCTCCTAGGTACAACAGCCCTTAACTCTATCCCGTGACAATCTCACTGCCTCTGACACACCTATCCCCATTACCCCAGTCACTGAATCAATCCATCCCATCAAGAGTCTTCCTCTCTTGTACTGTCTCTCCACCCTCCCAAACTTGACGTCCCTCTCCAAGAACTGGTCCCTTCTTGCAACATGTACAAAATATGTCAGATGAAGCTTCAGAAACCTTACCTCCAAGGAGCAGTCTGGTTTCATCCTCTCCAGGGTATATACATATATGTACTATTTTAGATGATAATTCATATACCTGTGTTTTAGTTAATTACTATTGTTCAATGCTTTTTTCACTTATGCATATTGTGCTTTATACATTCATTTATATACTTTATGGTTTATATAGTTAATTACAATTTCCCCTACCTCTTCCGTCCTCCTTCTCTTTCCCTTCTGAACTGTTACACATATCCTGTTCCCAGAATGCTCTTAATTCTCCTCTGTTGACTTCACTTTCTGATTGTTTGATTGACAAAGCAGCTTTTTTTTTCAAATGAGGCAGGTGGCCAGTTTTCAGACAGAAGAAAAAAGAGCAGAAACCATAAATGAGTGCTGTGCCCAACCAAGGTGCTGAAGAGCAGCCCCAGGCTTTCTGCTACCAGGTGAATGGGTCTTGCCCCAGAACCATCCATCCTCTGGGTATCCAGTTGGCCATCTACCTGGCCTGTGCAGCGGGCATGCTGGTTACGGTTCTAGGGAATCTCTTTGTGGTATTTGCTGTGTCTTATTTCAAAGCACTTCACTCTCCCACCAACTTCTTGCTGCTCTCCCTGGCCCTGGCCGACATGTTTCTGGGGCTTCTGGTGCTGCCCCTCAGCACCGTTCGCTCGGTGGAGAGCTGCTGGTTCTTCGGGGACTTCCTCTGCCGCCTGCACACCTACCTGGACACCCTCTTCTGCCTCACCTCCATCTTCCACCTTTGCTTCATTTCCATTGACCGCCACTGTGCCATTTGTGACCCTTTGCTCTATCCCTCCAAGTTCACAGTCCGGGTGGCTTTCAGGTACATCCTGGTAGGGTGGGGGGTACCAGCAGCTTACACGGCCGTCTTCCTCTACACGGATGTGGTGGAAAGGGGGCTCAGTCAGTGGCTGGAGGAGATGCCATGTGTAGGTAGTTGCCAGCTACTGTTCAATAAGTTCTGGGGCTGGTTGAACTTCCCAGTGTTCTTTTTCCCCTGTCTTATCATGATCAGCTTGTACGTGAAGATCTTTGTGGTTGCTACTAGGCAGGCTCAGCAGATCAACACCTTGAACAAGAGCCAGGCTGGGGCTGCCAAGCGTGAGAGAAAAGCTGCCAAGACCCTGGGCATCGCCGTGGGCATTTACCTGCTGTGTTGGCTACCCTTCACCATAGACACGCTGGTTGACAGCCTCCTTAACTTCATCACGCCACCTCTGGTATTCGACATTTTTATCTGGTTTGCTTACTTCAATTCAGCCTGCAACCCTATCATCTATGTCTTTTCCTACCGGTGGTTCAGGAAGGCCCTGAAACTCATCCTGAGTCGGGAGATTTTCTCAGCACGGACACCCACTATTGATTTGTACCAAGAATGACTCTTGAAGGCTGAGAGGACTGGGCGCAGCAAGGGTGCCTGGAGGAGAGGATGGGTGGGAGGTGGCCGTGGGCAGTGAGGCTTTGTTGGTCTGTGGTGAGGAGAAAAGTCATGGTTTAAATTAGAGAAAAAACAAGCTTCTTCTGTTAGTAAATGTTGCAATAAGCTCCTTACCTAATCTATTCTATAACAGACTATGGTAAAAGGAGAATGAGGTCATCTAACTGTTCATTGGATGAGCTAAAACACTACAAATATTTGGCTCCAGTATTTGCTTTCTTAGAGACAATTCAGGAAGATATAGAGGTGGAACAAAAAGATCCCTGAGGCTAGGATTTCTCAGTTCTCCTGCTGACTGTGCTACATCTACCTGCAGAAGAATGAAACCTGAAGAGTCTGAAAACCTGAATGAAACCAGAATGAAAGCTGAAAAGTGTTCTTCCCTACTGCCATCAGCTCTCCTTACCTGTAAAACTGTTCATACTGTGTGTACTTTAAACTTAAATGCTGTAAAACTGTATGTGGAAAATAGTTTTCTGTAATGTAACTTTACTTCATTTCATAATCATAAAGATAATTTGCAATGACGCTTTTCTAACACGTTCATTTTATAAACCTTGGCTCCTGGGAATCTAATATTTTGGCAGGCATGTAAATCAGGTCTATTTGTTTCGAAGGTCAGTGAGTGAATGCAGAATATCCTTCTTTTTAAAAAATTGAGTTACATTTCTCATTAAACATAACTCAAAGCACATATTCACTACAATGAAGTACTTCATAGCTGACCCCTGTTGCATTTCTGAGCCTGTGCAGCCTTAAGCTCTGTGCAAGCTGCTGCTCTACAGACTGTACTGCCTCGATGCCTAAGGAAAACCATGACAAAATAAAGTGAAGCAGGGAGGTCCATTTCCTTGTCCGCTGTCACAATGATGGTAGTACCTGGAGTCACAGTTGATAGAAAAGCAGTTTTACTCCAGAAAGTCTTCATTTGCAGTCTAGGAACATGGTGTAACTCTTCATTTAATTAGTAGATATATTTCATATATATGTATACGTTGTTGTTTTGTGCCTCAAGTTGACTCTGACTCATAACGACCCTATGAACAATAGCTCTGAACCCTGCCCCATCTTGAGCAAATCTCACTGACACACGCCCCCGCATTGCCACAGTGACTGTGTTAATCCATCTCCTCTAGGATCTTCTTCTCCTGCACTGACCATCTACCCTTCTAAACATGTCATTCTCCACGGACTAATCCCTCCTGATAAGATGCCAAAGTATGTGAGACATACTTCCTAATCCTTGCCTCTGTGAAACAATCTGGTTTCACCCTTTCTAGGACAGACTTGCTTGTTTTCTTGGCAGCCCACGGTATGTGCAATAACATCACAACTCAAAGGTTTTGATTCTTCTCTGTCAGCCCTAGTCATGACCAGCTGTCAGAGGTTTAGTAAGTAAGTGAGAATACGGTGGCCTGGAATAGGTGCATTAGTCTCTAAATCAGCACTATTACTCCTTAGCACTCTAGAGAAGTCCCTGACAGCATACTTTGCCAAAGCAACTTGACTTTTGAATTTTTAACTGCTGGTGCCAAGGATATTGATAATGGACATAAGTAAGGTGAAATTGTTAACAACTTCAATCTCATTTCCAACTATCATGGTTCTACCAATTGTCTTCATGGTAAAAAAAAAAAATCTTTGTTTCCTTGAGGTTGAGATGCAATTCATATTAAAGACTTCAGTCCTTGACTTTTTTCAGCATAGGCTTCAAGGACTTCCTCAGATTTTGCAAGCAAGGTTGTGTCATCTGAATAATGCAGTTTGTTGATAAGTCTTCATCCAATCCTGATGCCACATTCTTATTCACAGAGTCCAGCCTCTCGAATGATATATTCCACATATCATATATATTTCATATGTTGTTGTTGTTGTTAATTGCCATAAAGTCAAGCATGATTCATAACAACCCTATGAACAAAAGGCCCGAAGAACTATTGTCATTTATGAACATTCACAGTTTCCAGAGTCACGTGGCTTAGGAAGTGGATGCCACTCCTGCTTTCAAACATTACATGTAGATAAATATATATTGCATATGTGTGTGCGCATGCTCATTGAAGGCTTTCATCGTTTACTATAGCTTATGAACACTGTGATACTGATGTGTCAAAAGAGTTAATGATTACCCATTGCAGACAGTGTTTGGAGGCACTCCCTGATTAAAACAAGTTTGGAAGCAGGAGTGGCAACCACTTCCGTAGTAGCTTGCCTCCGGAAGCACTATGAACCTGAAGAAAAGATGAAAGTCACACAAGTGTTGAGGACTTTCTTTCATAGGGTCGCTATGAGTCACCTGTGACTCACCGGCACTTAACAACAATGACACCAACATAGAGAGAGATCAATTGGCCTAATGGAAAGTGATGCTACCAAGCCAAAGGTGGGTGACTTCTAGCCCGTGGCCCTCATGTCTGTTTTTCATTGTTTTTGTTCAAACATTCTTCTAGGTCATATAGTCCTGGTGTGTCTACTTGCCGTACAGAGGTAACTTGTGGTTGCTGTGAACTGTTGAGGACTTTCATTCATAGGGTCTCTATGAGTCACTTGCAACTCACCGGCACTTAACAGCAAGAAGAATATAATCCCCAGGATTTTAATTTCTGTTATTTTGTGGTGGTCATAATCTTTCATGTTGCTCTTTGAGAATTTTTTTTCTGAATATATTTTACTTAAGTAGGCCTAGTGGTTAAAACATTCAACTATTAAACAATAGTTCAGTGATTAGAACACACCAGTATCTCCTTAAGAGAAAGATGTGGCAGCTACTTCAACAAAGATTTACATCCTTGGAAACCCTGGGGGGAAGTGCATGCAGAATTTTGGGCTTTTTAATTGTGAGTTTAATGAGAGCTTATAGGAAAGATGGGTTTTCATTCATTTGTTGATACAGTTTTTCTAACTTTCTCCTCCCCAATTCACTTTGTAAGTGATGTCTTGTTACCAATTGTCAATTGCCATGCACACAATGTGTAACCATCAATTCCCTTCAGATAATCACTCCCTTCTCCCACTTCAGTGTAGTGTTCATTATCTATCCTTCCATTCCCCTTCCTGCTTTTCTGTCCCTTGTGTCCATCCTGATTTTTAACAATGGTTGTGTGTAGTTCTTGTCCTTTTATGACTGAAATATTTAACTTGGTATAATGCCTTCCTTGGAAGAAAGAGTGGCCTCCACTTCCTAAACAGACGTGCCTCTGGAAACTCTATGAACTTGAAGAAACAATGATACTGATAGATAGAAAGGCTTCAGACCTTTGCTATGAGTCATGCTAGACTCAACAACAATCAACAAAAACAATAAGGTCTTCCAGATTTATTTATGTTGTGTAATGGTTTACAAGTTAATAATTTTACAGTGCTGTGTGTGAGTGAAGCACCACAGTGTTTCTACCCATTCATTTGATGACAGGAGCTTGGGCTGCTTACACGTCTTTCCTATTGTGAATAATTTGGCAGGAAACATGGGTATGCATCATGGCTCTGATTTCTTCAAGGTATATTCCCAGTAGGGGGATAGCTGGGTCAACTGGTATTTCTTTTCCAACTTTGTGAGAAAGTAATAGACTGCCTTCTGTAGTATTTATACCATATTACATTCCCACCAGCAGTTAATGAGATTTCCAATCTCTCCGCAATCTTGCCAGTATTTGCTGTTTGCTGCCCCATTGACTTTGCTATTGTTGTTGGGGTGCGATGATATTTCACTGTTGTTTTAATTGCATTTTTCTGATCGTGCAGAGTATTCTTGAAGGACTATTTTATTGTTTTTAGCATCAACCATGAAAATAATTGCAATATGTTGTAAAATTATAATTATCCACATCTGGAAAGTATAATAATTCTTTCTCTTTTTTCTCCTTCTAATAATTCTTTCTTTAAACTACTATAATGAAAATTGAATCTTTTGTCTTTCCAAGACATCCAGAACCTGACTTTCTTTAGATGAACAAATCCCTGTGTCACATGCATGCTCAGAATTGAACCAAACATCTCTCAGGAGCTGTAGCAGACAACTTTCTAAGGCATTTTGCCTCTGTCTTCCTGAATCTCTTAAAGATCACTTCTCCTCAACTTTTCTTACTTTTTTAAAAAATAAATTAGATATGGCTTTATTTGAAACCTATATATAAATTAATTT